TTCTTGTTGAAGCGAGTCATGTAATAATTTACTCCTAATCCTTCCCTTATGCTAATAGGCTGGAGGAATTGCTTTTTAAATCCCACTAATTTTATTTAAATACCTAAATCTATATTCAATTTTGGTAATCGTCTTAAATTCCATATATCCTAGAGAGAAAATATCGACAATTTAGATTTTTAATTCTCCTATTTTTTATTATTATTGATGCATATTTATATTTAGATATAGATGCGCAACTTTTACTATTATATAAATGCAATCTTAAATATAACAAAAACAATGTTTTGTAAATAAAACCCTTTTTTAAAACATCTTATGATTTTTAAATTTGCCGAAATGTCAATTTTTCCACAGGGGTAAGTTATGAGCTTGACAAGGGCTCGTCCAGGGCATATTTCAAACGGGGGAAGAATTTAGGTCCTGGGGCTTAGCACAACCTCCTACCCCCAGATTAGCCAAAAAGGGGTTAGGCCCTGGGTTTTAGGACTTGAATTGGGAAGTAGGGGCTCATAGTTATGCTATTGTAGCCCAAAGCCCGAAGGGGGAAAAAAGGGCTCCTTACTATTTTTTTCTTTTTCCTTGAAAATCTATTAAATAACTCATAATTTATTGTCGAAACAAATTAAGAAAAAAGGATCAATCTTCATACGAACAATATATGAACAACAGCAATCATGATATTATTTCGATGAGACTATAAATATCCTGGCCTTTAGATTTAACCTGTAAGTAAGAGCCTGAAATATACATTTGAACTGATGACCTATATAAGAAGCACGACAATTTTTAAGTGAATATGCAAAAATACATGGTTTCCATATTGACAGACAATTGTAAAATGTTATCATGTTATGTTCATCTTGTATGAAAATTTTAATTTTGACGAATTGGCTCAATTCGACACATGTTTGTAGTTCGTTCGCACATGGGCGAATTTGAGCCTATATAAATCCAAATCGAAGTTACTCCAACGGAGTGTGCTTAATCTTTATTTTTCATGTAGAGGAAGTTATCATCAGGCGTATATCATCAATCATCAGAATACAAAAATAAAATATTTATTCGTAGAACAACTACTAAAGTTATATTTTTATAACTAATCCCAAAAGTATTTTTCCCCAACTCACCAGCGTTTCGAATTTTCTGCCAAAAAACACAAGCGCTTTTTTTCCCCTCGGGCAGGCCCAAGAAGCTTGGAAATATTATAAATATCTATCGAATTTCGGGCCGGAGCCAGGGAAACGTCGCCGACCCCTGGCTTTCCGCCCGTTATGAGATAATTCGAAATAATGCGTTCACAAGATAACACAAAAATCCTTTAGTTTTCAATTTCCTTCAATTTCTTTCAATTTCAAACTGTATGTGTCTTCTTCAATGTAACCATAATAAAACCAATTAGCCATGGTTTATTCCATTCATAATTTCACAAACAATATTGGAATCGCAACCATGAATTTTACCATTTTATTATTTTTATCTTTCCACATTAGTTACAGGATTAGATGCTACCGTCGTCAAAATAAACAATAAATAATGCTTTGTTTTCTTCCTTTATTTACTTTTGTACTGATTAATCCTATTTGTACAAAAAGTAGCATTATGCCCTTCCATTCTACTCCCGTATATTTCGTTTTCGTTTAACCTTTTTGTTGATTTCATTTGAATTATTCTTATTCTTAAACCTATTTCAAAGGCTTCAATAAGGCATTTGAGTGAGTAAAGTGTCAGGGTCATAACATTATTACAGGAAGGGTACAGACAGCGCGAAGTCGCCAGACATAGGGAAGAACGCCTACGGACGAGAAATAATCGATTGATTCATCCGTCATCAAACTTTACAAAACCACAATATTACGAGAAATTAGATAAGAAATCAGATAAGACAAGTTCAAATGTTTCGATTTGCTCCAGGAATGTAAGAAGAAGGCTCAATGAAAATAACTTCAGGACCCGGCTCGTGGACCTTTTCTTACCAGAGCTCAGAAAATGGCCAGGCTTCAATTCAATGAATTTTTACTCATAGAAAATTTTAAAATTAAATGAAATGAATAACTTCTTCCTTATTTTTCTGGAATTTTCGCACTTCACTGCGAAAATCCCGTTCCTTTCCGCACCCCCTATTTCATGATATCTGGGCGCGTGTCAAGGTAATACAATTAATTAAGGTTTTTAGTTGAGATAAAAAGTCAATGGCACGAGCGGGATTCGAAACCACGATCTTCGGCTAGATACGCCGCTGCTCCACCACTTGAGCTATCGAGACCTCGATCCACTCGGTCACCAACTTCCTATCTCAACCCCACCTTTTGAATTTTCCCTCCTTTTTGCCATTTTTCAAAAAAGGTACGTCGAAGATCGTGGGTGCGAATCCCGCTCGTGCCATTGACTTTTTTATCTCAACTAAAAACCTTAATTAATTGTTATATATTAATTGGTCAGGCGGACCACGAAATTAGTGAATTTAGTAATAAACAATGTCTTTTAAATGTATTATTTTTACAACCAAACCTACTTTTGTTATGCGAAATATGAATAAACCAATACGCATTAAAATTTAAAGGTGGTGCGTTAATTTTGTTCATCTGTTTTTTTACAATTTTTCAATTATTTACAAATTGAACAATTTTATATAGATATACACACATAAAAATAATAATACTCATATAACATAAATATACATTATTTACATTTCTATATGTGAGAAAACACCCCCGTATCCCTTAAGAAATGGAACAGGGGACCCAGAAATTGACCGGCCTGCCCGATATTTAGGTCAGGGGTCAACTCGCTCCCTGTAAAGGGCCAAGGAATGGTAATCTTTGAGACACTGAGCAACTTTTCGCTATAAGCCGGGCACCTGACGCGGGAGGACCCAGGTGTCGGTTTGTTGCCCAGTCCGAAGATTATCCCCATAGCCAAACTGGTTCTACGCATCCCCGAATTTAATTCCCATGGTCGAGTCCGAGTTCGTATATATATCTAGTTATTCTTGTTCTTCAGGATCGTGTCCGTCATGGGGTTGCCCAGCTTAGCCAAGAAAGCTGCTCTTTCCGGAATTCGAGCGGCGACATTCCCAGCTCCCATCAGACACTGACAAAGGGGCTTGTTCAAACCACGCCAGATATAGGTCGAAGGACTTGACATTAGAGCAGATTGAGCAGCAAGGGACGTTTTCCTGGCCGACAAATAGGCGTATAAATGAGCCGATTTTCAGCAGAGCCTCCTTGTCCGTTTCCCACTTGAAATGACCGATGTACCCGTCTGCACTGGACAAGGCTTCGATGAGCGAGTGCCACCATAACATTTCATCAAAGATAAGGCCGGGGAATCGCGCCTCTAAGAACTCCTCCACTTTATGGTGGATAAAGATTCCTTTTGAATCCACAAAAGAGGACGCAGAACGGAGATAATAAATCTGGCTTCCCCAGCGCATGCAGCCACAGCGTTTATCGCTAAATTCGTCACCCCATCGACCTCCTTCAGATGTTTATCAGAGTGGTAAAAACAGACGTCGTCGATATAGAGAATTTTTTTGTGGATATAGTGGGTATCTGAATGGTCTAGGTCCGTTAGGAATTGTTGCTGAAAATCATAAGTAAGCATATTGAGCACTTCATTGAAATCTGAGGGGTTTTCTAGCTTGCAAAAGAGAACTCATGAGCTCTCTTAATCCCTTTAATAAAATCCTTAATTTTCTACAGAACTCACCTAGAATGTCAGCACTGTCCGGCATTAAATTATTGAGATAGCTAATTTGTAGATTTAAAAGTTTTTGAATCTTGTCGACAAATTGAAAGTTAGATTAGTTTGTTTTATTTTCGAAAGTTCAAGGACGAGGTTGCAAATGTCCCTCTTGTCTGGATAACTGGTTAACAATGCATTTTTTCTTTCCAGCCAACTACTTGCGCCTGAGTTGAAGACTATTTCTGCCGCCGATCCCTGAACTTTCGAATTGTTACTTGCCAATAATACTTATTTTGAAAATCTCCCGGATTCGTCAATACGTAAAATTTGTCAACTAATTTTTGACAAATACCAATGTACCTTGCAACACTTCAAGTTCGCTCTTAAAATTAGGTATTAAGATACTCGCTTTTTAACGTTTCTGGAAACGGGAGATTCATAATGTTATGAAATCCTATACTTATTTTATATATTACTTATATATNATATATATGTATATAAAGCTTCCAGAGAAGATTGTAGGATACAGTTAGTATTGGTTTATTACAATTCATAAGTAAAAACTAAGTACATATGATTGGTTTTGTAGTTAGATATATAACAACATACGTAAACCGAATTTATCCTTTACAGGTGAGCTAAGATAAAGATTTTTTTTGTTGTGTGTAATGTTTGTAATTAATTTAATAAATTTTTAAATTTAATAAATTATTGTTATATAATAGAATCTTTATTGATAAAAATAAATAGATTTATCTTTTTCTCACTCACTGACTCTTCCTAATCAGTATTGTAATTTATTTTTTCTTTCCCATGGTATAACATTATATTATAACTAGTTTGTGTAATAGATCAAACAAGTAATTACAATTGACAATTAATTTTATTTATGTTCTCTGTTGAAGCTAATAAAAACACTGATGAAACGTTATTAAAACTCAATTGATAAATGTCGATTTTATTGAAAGGTTTGAATATTTAACATTGAAAGAAAATATATGTTCCTGAATCAAAATCACAAGGCAACAGCAGGTTACAACATCCCGAAAGATTTATACCTTCCTTGGGAGTGGGTCTTTTATTATCGGAATTCCGGCTGACTCACATTGAAGAAGACCATTAGGAAACGCTATCATAGAATTTTTTTACCGAGCAAATAAATTGCACATAACAAAAGTATCCACCTAATCTGTCTCATATGTGTGCAATTTTTTTACTCCAGAGTTCTCGATCTTCCTGTCGTTATAAAGATTAAATTTTCACGCCAAAGTCATTCAAACAATTCCTTCTTTATCCTTGTTTCTGCTTTACAGATACGACTTAATGTGCGGAGTCGTCGAGCTGGAAGCCTACCACCAGCTATCTGCAGTTGCACTGGCACATGGAATGCTTGACGAGGAAAGGGACGATGTGCTTGAATCCTTTTTTAGAACAAATTATGAGGTAAGTACAAAAAGGATACCACTGTTGACAAAATGTGTAGTTTTATTTATACTGGATATAATTCTTTTTCTTTACAGTTGTATTTGACTATGTCACAACTCAAAGGCGACATACACATATGTAGTTACAATTTCTCGTATCGTATAACACTATATAATCAAAAGTTCAAACATAAAAGAGTCAGTGGATGAATTTGTCTACCTACCACTGCCAAATTAGTCAAGATTATAGATGTTATAACGTTAGCGTTTAACTTCCGAAATGCTTGATGCATGATAGATGCCCGACTGGCCTTAGACACTGTTTGGCATAACCTATAGTCAGCATGATGATAGAATATAGCTAACCTCCCACCATATTAAAAATAATCCACACCTCTTATTCAGACAATTCCATTTCAACGATTTGGATCATCCTTTTTTCAACCAAGAGACATTGTTGCCGGTGTTCTTCAAGGTTCTATCTTTGGGCCGATTCTGTTCTTTCTATATATCGCTCACTACTCCTCATCTTAGAGGATAGACAGCGATATATAGATTATACAATTACATTATCGAACAGATTATACAAAGTAATGCGCTGCATAGGACGTTTCTACAACCCTTGTAAAATTAAAATCAATCTTGACAAAACGGAGGCCATAGTTTACAGCAATCGTGGACCGTTTCTTAATCAAATATCTTGAGGTGATATTGGACCGTAAATTCAATTTCATTCCTCATGTCAGTAATAAAGCGGCTATCCTCGTACTTTTCTCGATATACACGCTTATGGGAACTACACAGTGCGACATGATAGTGCTGAAATACATCAGAGATGCAACAATTAATTTTGTAAGCAATGGGCCCCTACTACCAGTAAAATCTTCTGTTAAATAAGACCGTATTGTTATGATGACTTTTGAAGTGATGGTTGTGGCACATATGTAAGAAAGTATTTGTATAAAGTTGGCTAAAGGAGCTGAGTTTTTCATTTCAATTAGCCTTAGATCTTCTATTTATTTTTTTAATCATTTCATTTAACTTGCTATTATTAAGTAAACAACTTGTGCTTGATAGCAGGGAGTTTGTTCAGAACCACATTATATAAATTTACAAAATATTTTATATTTAATATGCTTATACTAAAATTTAAGGGAAATGTTTAATGAAAAATTATAATAAATCAAGTATTAATGGTAAAGAAATATTCAAAATATGATTTCGTCTCGTAACATGGTGGTTTAAAAGGTATGATTTTGTTTTAAAATTAATCAGGTTTTATTATTAATTTAACATATAAAAAAGAAAACGTTAAGTATATTACTCCATATGTCTGCCAGAATAATGGTTACTTTAGGATAAAGATTGTATAATGATTAAGATTTTTAGAATTAAGAATTTTTATTTTACATTTGATCTTATAAGAGTTTCATTCTGGGTATTCGATTCGTTTAATTTAACGATTAATAAATTTCTTTCCGAAATTATTGGATTTGTAGTATTGTACTCTCTATTGTAAGTTTTTCTGGTTCAGAGACTTGGCATGTAATTTGACGTACGTTTGTATTTTTCTTTGCTAACTAGAGCTGGGCTTCGACCAAGTCTTTCCAATATGAATTAAATAGTTTCTATAATTATCAAGAAATCTCGATCCTTGGTTTTTCTGTCAGCGTTGTTTTGGTTGTTAATATTTTTTTTTCTTTTGGGTTAACATTGGCTTATTTTCTATGCTTTAATGTTTACCAAATTACGTTTTCAGAAACATCCAGAAATCGCGCGTGCGATGGCGACGTCTGTCTACGAGGAGGAGATGAAAGGGAGGACATCGTCCAAAGTCGCTTCTGCCCTGATTGCCCGCGACACCACTCTCGGCATCCTCGGGGATTCACAGATCGTTGTCCCCGTCGTGCAAACGGCTGCCTACCACTCCAAGCCCAATCCGAATATACAGACTTACTTGTACGTGTTCGAGCACCGGAACCTCCAGAGCAATTACCCTTCCGTAAGTAATACGAGCCAATTAAACGGCCAACCGCACAGAAATAGCGTCAGGTTAACAATCTATTATTCACGCGGAAAGAGGGATTGCTCCGCCCCGCGACTCTCCTACTCTTGGACTCCATTCAATTTTATATTAGAACTGAGATTGTATTGTACAATATTACACTATACGTGTATCTGTAATAGGCATTCAGTTTGTTAGAGAGGATGTCTTCTTTGTTGATATTTTTATACGGCCTAAATAGCAGAGGTCACTGACAACATTCCACGTTCTTTTATTTTTATTGGTAAAAATTTGGTTTTTCGCAGGTGTTTTTGATGAAGGTGTTTTGTTTAACCTTTTCTTACTTCATTTAGTTTTATCTACAACTGTAGATGTATTATATATAACTTGCAGATTGGATTTTAATTTATGATTGTGGTGTTATGGAGAAAGCTACCCATTGGCAGCCGCTCTGGATTAATGAAATGATATTAATAATTTAAGAAGTCGATTGTTTTTTAATTCTGGAGAATAGAGTAATCGTATTTGTGTGATTTTGTAATTTACAATTAATTAAGGTTTTTAGTTGAGATAAAAAGTCAGTGTCACAAGCGGGATTCGAACCCACGACCTTCGGCTAAATACGCCGCTGCTCTACCACTTGAGCTACCGTGACTTCGATCCACTAGGACACTGACTTTCCACCTCAACCCCACCTTTGGAATTTTACCTCCTTTTTGCCATTTTATACTCATATGGCTTATCATTATATATGTCATTTCCTTTATTACCAATTTATACTCTTAAATATTATTAAACGAATTACCTACAATAAAATGTTTCAGTATTTATGATTTCCTTTAAAGGAGCATTTCCTTAAGTGACCGGAGAGAGATCTTAGCGTTTAAGTGGGGTGGAGGCACATTAAGGGAAAAGGTCCAATCTGATTTTAGGTTTTTCTTTTTTTCTATGTATAACTTTTATGGTTTTTATTTCTTAATAATTAGTGATATTGTTTTATTGTAGCATTTATATATGAATTACGCTATTCTGCAGAGTGCGAGCCATTTCTTATGCCTTTTTTTTCGTTATCGAATGTTCCCTGTATATATCAAACTTGGGTTGATTGTAATTTTTTTAACAATTAGATCAAAAAAACAATATCTGTTTGCTGTCTAGGCCGTTATCGAAACCAACATCTCAGTATACATATCTTCATTGTTGCGCTTTGCCATAATTTTGTGAAATGTGTTTTCATTCTGCAATTGTGGCTGAAGTAGTTCTTATTTTTATTTCCTCCCATTAAAATTGAAGTAGTTTTATTGAACTGTAATTTTTTGTAGGTAGGTTTTAAATAAATACAACGTCTTCTTTACTGGAACAGGATATATTAGCAGTTGCTTTGTGTTTTGCAGATTTCAATGCTCTCGCAGGTTTTTAGCTGATGACTGAACCAGTTGGTCTGTTTTGCATATTTTAGTCATATAATAACAAAGTATGTATTTCCAAGTTACAAGCCTCCAAGTGCGCTGTGGTCCTGTTTGCGTCATTTTATAAATCGATAGGTCTTAACTTTCCGTCAACAAAGTTGCTGAGGTTGCAGCGTCAGCGGTAAAATGTTAAAGTTCCCCAGTAAAGTCTGAGATTTGAAAAGATCGGGTAGCTCGGTCCCATTAACTGCAATGTGAGCAGCGCCTGCTGGAATATTGCGTCGCCGCTGGCTAGGCAGATAAAACTCCTTTAAGCCGTGTCAGAGAAAGAGGCGCCTCGCCCAGGAACATTTTAGATAAGGCTTTTATCTTGTAAAAACCGCAACGCTCTAGGAGGACTGCTTAAAAATTAATGCCTTTTAACTACGAAACCGAAAGATTAGTGATAATGATCTCATTTCTGGCTTGACCGTATGATGGAGTCAATATTAGGAGATCAATATTTTTTTCGGAAATAAGACATATAAATGACGACATATTAGATTTTGTCAACAAAATAAATAAATGGACTTGGGATTTACAAACTTGTTTAACTTTAACAAATAACAATGTTCGTAAATCCCAGTTCCTGAAGATGATCTCAATAAAGATCGAAACGTTGGCACGATAAAGAAAATATTTTTCTGAAACCTACATCACACCAGACCGCATCTCACGATTTCTGAATAAACATCGACTAACGCTTACTTATCACCACACAAAATAAATTAATCGTTTTGAAAGATAAATCCTGAATTATAAATAATAAAGAACGACATAAAAATAAGGGAAAATAAATAAAAGGGAGAAAGAATGATAAATAAATATACAGGGTGTGCATTTTTCGATACACCATAAGAAAAACAATGCACCTCCGATTACAATGGACTCTGGCGCAATTTTCTAATTAATGTGAGATTCATGGTACACAATAAAAGTATACTAATTGTGCAATATAAAGGTGTTAATAAATGAATTTCGCAAACAAAAATCATTCTATATTACGTGTGTGCTTATGTATGTTTATGTGATTGAGAAAGGGGGAGAGAGAGAGAGAGAGAGAGAGAGAGAGAGAGAGAGAGAGAGAGACTGAGAGCAAAGAACAAATGATAATTAAAAAAATGATGATATCCTTTATTTACCCCCGCAAAGTTACTTCACTTTTTTAGATCTATAACTTCTAACTTTCTTCTTCACTTTTTAAGTCTATAACTTCTAACTTTCTTCTTCTTTAACTTTCTACTGTAGGAACACCTTTACTTTCATTGTGTTGCTTTTAAATTGATAAAAATGTCACCTCTTCCCAATTAATATTACAGAAAGAAATTCGTTATGATAAATTTTACAATTCGGGCAGTTCTTCAATTTAAGAAGGCGTGAAATATAAAAGGTGAAATAAAGAAGGTGAAATATAAAACAGCGAGAATAGAATGACCCAGTAAAGCGCACAGTTCCTGATCAGTTGTCTGAATGCTTTTTAATTATTTTTCAGGCCGAGGGCAGTGTCCAGGGGGAGGATCTGGAGTATGTCCTTGGAATCCCTTTTGAAGACAGGAGTGTTCCCGTTCTGACTAGGTACTCACAAGAAGAGAAACTGCTTTCCGAGTATGTGATGACGCTGTGGACCAACTTTGCCAAAACAGGGTACGAGTGTTTATACAAATCTAGTCCTAATCACAAAAACCACCTGAACATCACAAAGAAAAGCATTTTCAATTGTCACATTCGGCGTTTGTTTACTCTGGGCATAGTTTAGCTATTTTCTCAGATACAGATAAATCTAAAAAGCTGTTATATTTTTAAAAAAATCGCAGGGATCAAACGGAATGAGTTGGTCGAATATTAATTTGAATTTTCTTAGCGGAGAACAGCTGCGCGTTTTGACCTTTGGACTACGGCCAGACCGGTCACTCCACAGGTCACCGAGAGTCTATAATTAAACTGAAAATAGACAATCGCTCCCTGGAAATAACACGTGTTAAATTTATTTATAGGTGCACCATGACACTCCGCATATCTATTTAATATGATAATTTATTATAATCATACATTTATTTATTTTATATTCTTTTTGATAATAAAAACCAATCCCTACAGGGACCCTAATGCTCCAAGAAAATTTAATTACTACACTGGCTCCTCGAGATACTGGGATATTTTGAGCAGCTTGAAATGGCCAGAATTCAGACCGAACCAGTCGTACATGGCAATCAGTAAGTGACGTTTTATTGTTGTTTTTTAAATTTAGGTGAAATATAAAATAAAGAGAATCTTTTGGAAACGATGGAGTTTGAGTGTTCGTTCTTGATTAAAAATCTCGTGGCATTTCTTTTTTAATGAGTCGTTCATTGTTTCAGATTATCCACCTCACAGAAGTTACCGTTACAAGAGCAACCTAGTCAACTTTTGGTCCAATATCCTTCCTTCGCATCTGAGAGACATCGGCGGAAAACCACTCAAACCGGTACAGTTCTGTTTGGTAAAATCATCTTCATCACTTCGTATAACATCCATTCGACACTGTGTGACTAACCGACGTTTCATCATATTCAAAGCCATTTGTTCCTCGTAGATCGTTTTAGAATAGAACAATTTAAGTTTTCATGAGTTGGCGTGTAATGTTTGACTTTCTATGGTATGATGTTGTCGTCTTAAGCACAGAATCATTTACTATCCTTAAATACTTTGGGCGGAAAAAGTAGAAGTAATTACAGATCCCTTTGGGTTTTGTATTTAAATAACACATTACTATTGTTATAAATAGTACGCATGAATATTCTTCTTGTTTTAAAAATAAAGATTAATAAATATTGTCTAATTACAGTCGCAGAACTGGTACAGCCCGGACAGAAGACAAGAAACCATCGGAAACGAATACCACCGAGCACCGCCTCAGTACAAACCCGAACAGTATCATCCGAGATCTCCGTCGGTGCAGAGCGTCAGGCCCACCGAAACGCCCGACGACGCTCCAGAGATCGAGAAGTCGGAAGAAGGTGAAAGCGGCCACGTTACGACGGCTTCGTCATTTACGCTAAGCGTAGTAATAATTATAGGGATATTTTTTGTTTTAATAAACCTGGTACTGTTGTTGTACGTGTTGCGGCAGAGAAGGAACAATGTCCGGCTAGATTTCAAATCGCGTTTCAGATTCGGCTCGAGTCCGAGTATTCCAGATCTTGACACGGAGCCGAAACACGAAATCAAAAGCATATTGAAGTCGAACGAAATCTTGTATGACACTATCAAAAAGCCTAGGAACTATTCTGGGTTTAACAGCCAAGGGAGTTCGAGCACGGTCACGATCGATCCGCACGCCAAAGTCGCCGAGTGGATGAACCACCGCACGAAACCTGGAAACATGATGAAACTGAAGACGGACAAGTCTTCGGATACCGACAAGGCTCCCGCTACGATATCCAGAATCGCGAAAAAAGTAAAAAAAGTTTCCGTCGCCGTAGACGCCACTCCAGAGTCGAGGAGCGCCAGTGTCTTGAAGCAGATCCCCATTGAAATCTCAAAATCTCTAGACAGCGGTAAAAGCAGGCTCGGTACGAGGCCCGTACTCCAACGATCCGACGCTGTTTCCGATGACGAGCCTTCTGTCCACAGCAATAGGCTGTCCGATCGCGTGATGGAATCCGCATCACAGCCCACATCACCTCAAGAGGAAAAAAAACTCAAATCTTTTGAGCCATTTCCTAAAGACATAAACGTGACCTGCCGCGATGATATGGAGGAACCTAGCATGACTCCTGAAGAAGCTCTGGACAACATAAAAAGGAGAAATTTTCCCAAGGTTTTGCCTGATTTCCCAGACGACGAGCCTGAAGCTTGTTCTCTCCTGAAAAGGATGTCCTTGCCCCACTCGGAAGACGGCAGATCCCACAAAAAAGTGCCGCCTCCGCCCCCTCCACGGGTCTCGACGTTAGGGCGCAAGCCATTGAACCGCAACACGGTCCCCAATTTCATGACAACTCACAAAGATCTGGAGAACATGGACGTTGGCCTACATGAAAAGGCAGAGAAACCGGAGAAAAGACCCGAGCCAAGGGTCATAATAAAGCCGACGCTGACCGACCCCAACCTGAAAAAGGGCAATTCAAAGATCCCAAGGGTCACACCGCCTCAACCCATTGAGAAAATACCGCCCGCGACGCCGCCAAGCAAACGGCTTGTAATCAAAGGCGAGAAGCCGAAAAAACAGCCGGGCGGCGTCGGCGCGAAGTTGGTCGTTCACCCGGTCAAGAAATCCGCATCCGCCGAGACCGCGACTACCTCCGGCACTTCGGGAAGTTCCAAATCAAGTACTTCCACTGTAAAAAAATCAAATTAGTTTTTTTAAAATTTCCTCGCGAAGAAGACTGGTTACTTTTAGGTCATTTTAACGTATAATGTACAGTTTAATTTTTTAGTACTTACTTTGTACATTAATTATTTTCTGTAGAATATTAAAAAAGTAAAAACATCTTTGCTATGTGAAGGTTGGTACCTGTTGATGTAAATATACATACCATAATGTAGCATCCAATTCTTTTTATCGTAAAGTATTGTATTCTACTGTTTTCAGTATTCGTTTGAAAATATATAAATATATGCGCGTATTTACGTCACGATACTATAAGCAAATACGATGCTATTGATATTGTGACTGTGAATATCCAGTGTAAATATCCGTTAGTCACTCGTTTTGTTGCGAGAGATAAGAGTAGACATTTGTTTTATTATGTTTTTAATGCATTATTTGGAACAATTCAGAACATTTTCCTACTTGACAAATCCATGATGGACAATGATTTTGCTTAATATTTTTATTTGTTTTTTGTAAATAAACAAATATTTTGAGCCAGTTTTCACTGTTTTGTTAAAGTTTGTTTATATATATAAAACAAGAGTGCAATTTCAACGCCACGTCATTGACGTTAACCGCAACAACAACACTGTACAAACATATAGTGGTAAATCGTAAAATCTGGACATGTGTATAATTTACAGACGTATCTCTGACAGTCTTAGTGCTTCAGACCACGTCACAGATGATCAACCAGAACACGTTCCATCTATTTGTCTCTTATTTCCCATTTATTCTGATTACTCTTGGCTAGGACGTGTAGAGCCTTACAATAAATTATTTTATTATAATAACCGTGATTGGGACTGACAGTGGCGTAATATAGTCTGTAGGAAGAAATAAATATTTTTCTATTATGATCAAGGACACATCGGAGATTATTTGTATTGCGTTATCTCGGGAACTTTTCTAAATATTATAACACGATGGTTCAAAATACAACTTGTAGACGTGATGTTTTAATTGTGCATTTCCCGAGCTTGGAAAACGACTTCTTGGATAAGGAAGAATGAACTTACCCGTAAAATACCTCCAACCCTCGTCTTGTTTTTCCGAGTAAGACTGTGTCCCTTTTTTCCGGACTAAAATCAAATTAAACGAGACCCCATTCGTAACGGTCACGCTGCTACTAACTCTCCGTAAACGTTATGTATTACTTGGTGAAATTGGTATTTATGTGAGACAGCGGTTTGTGCTGAATCTACGGGATATAAAATATTACTAGATTATCTTTCAAATATATTTTTATATTATTTAAAATGGATAACAATAAAATCTTCATATCTTTACTTTAAATCCTAAATAAACTAATGACAAGTTTAATGTGTAGAATACCCAATAATAATTTTATTTTTACAAAATCCTTCGTCGTAGGAACGTAGGTAACTCTAGTACTATTTTAAAATAGTTTTAGTTGTTTTTTCAGGAAATTACAACCATTTCAAAATATCCTTTTATTATATCGATATCGATTTCTAGTTCTATTTTACAAACGTATGTAGCAAAATCCAATTGTAATTTACATTTACAATTTATGGTTACAGCTATTTGTCTACTTCACTTCCAGCGCCATAAAATTCAGCAGTTCCATTTTTGTTTTCTCAATTAAAAGTTTCGAACATTAAATGCATAGATGTACAGACGTTTGTAATAAAAAAATGTGTTTTTTATTTCTAACTATATCTACTTTACGTTATATTAATTACAACATACTTATTTTAATGTAAAACCAATTCAAGATGGACAAAGATTCATGAGTTCTAATAAAAATATTTAATTATAATGATTTGAATCAAAATTTACCAAAACCCCGGACATTCAGTGAAAAATGAATTTAACCATTCATTTCATCGTTTCGCTCATATTATACACATTAGTTATTTTATACATTAAGAGCAAAACTAGGTAAAATTGTTAGTTAAATTTTAATCTACCACTAAATGTATTTCCGGAGTTTTGGTGAATTTTATTTCAAACCATCATAATTAAATAAGTTTTGTTCAACTTTTGAATTAACATTGGTATGTTGCAATCAATATCACAATAACAATAAATACAGTTTAATAATTGTTAACAAAAAAATTGTCCATGCCCTTTTTTTCCTTCGAATGTATATTAACGGTCGGAAGTTGTACTGTTTCTAATTTGTTTTTAAAGAGAACGAATGTTTATTTCATTAATTAGTTAAATAAGTTTAAACCTCGTTGGAATTAAATGCTTTCGTAAAAAAATATCATATAATAATATTCATAAAAATATATCGTGTAATAACAACATTTATTGTGAAAGTAAGAGTGGTGTTACTTTAATTTTCAAGTTTTGAGTAAACAAGGTGCATTTGAAATTGCCAAAACGTTTATTTAATGTTATGTTTTCTAAACATGATAAAAAAATCAACGGTCTGGTGAATTTTGCGGAAATTAAGAAAATTAACTTAAGCATTAAGTTCTTAATTAAATTAAGAATTAGGATCTGTAATTTTTGTTCATAAATAACACAATAACTAATTACAAATTTGAAAATAAGCAAAAGTATATAGTAAAAATTAATTGTGGTTTCAGTTATATTTAATGATTCAATGTTGTACCAACACTGTTAGCATTTGTAATTTGTTTGCTACATTAATCAGTATTCAGTCACTAGAATTTTGTTAACTTTACTCCATTTAAAATTTGGACATTTTAAACATTTCTTTAATCGAAAGTTTTGCAAATTAAACAATTAGGTAAAACCGTTATTCTATCAATCTAATTTTTAAATTTTAGGTAGACCAGTAAGTAGTTTATCAAGTGGTCTAAGCACCTTTTTAACATTTTTTTCCAAACCGTCCAAGCACAAATAAAAATTTTCTACGAGCAAAAAAAGTTGGCATAATCAGCTATTTTTTATTTTGTTTGACGATGACTTGGTAACAATGTTAGCGCTGGGGTGGCGTAAAATGTGAAAAGTTGTTTATATCATTACGTTTACCATGTGTAATTTTTCGTCTGTTCGAACTTTCTCAAACTTTTTTTTTTAAATTAGCCCTGCTATTTCCTACGAAACCTTATCCGAAGAAAGTAGTTCCAGTTTTAGAAGATTCTTTGCATTAATTAAGTTTTGTATTTATTTTTAGTCAAAGATGAAATGCTCAATCATTATTGGGTCCTATCTTAAATCAATTTTATCAATTGGTGGATGGTACGGTTTTAATGTCTACATAGACGAATATTTTCCCCTTTATTTTCTTTTTTAAACTAGGCCAAACTATTTATCGCAGAAAATATCTATTATGAAATTCAAGTCTAACGATTGTGTTGAGGTTCGTTGTATTTTTGTTTGTTTGTTTATGAATTAAATCATTAGTTCCAACTGTTTATTAGTTTATTTGGTTCATTGAAATTCATGTCTGTGAATTGACACTTCAAATATAGACATTATTTTCATTGACGTTTTCTATATAATGGCGTTTTTTGGTACATAAATAATTTCAGGAAGCGAAAATGGTTTTTCTTCAATAGCTACCTTTTTCCTTTGTTCAAACCCATGTTTATTGGAATTTTGGCAGCAAAGCCGCTGTTATCTCATTCGCCTTGACTAAGTGAACATATAAAAAGTTAAATCTTTGCCACTCATTGTCTTTTGTATTTGCACAATTCGATTGTCGCGATATTACTTATTATTATTGAAATTCGCAAAATTCCATAAATAGTTGTTAGTGATGGGAATGATTGGCCGGCGGCAAAGGTATAAAAAAAAACATTTTTTATTATTTTTCAATTAAAAAATGTAAGCAAATTTAATATAAACGATTTCCAGGCCGTTACAGCAGTACAAAAATGGTTGTTCATAGTCACTAGTGATAACTAGTTGTGTGGCCTAATAGAATTTTAGACCAACAAGTTGGTTATTTGATATTTATAAATTGTTAATTTTAAGAAGTGTATAATTTAAGTAAACTGTTTTGATTATCATCGTTATATTTTTTTATTATATATCTGTTTTATAAACTTTTTTTTGTTAAACTAGTGTTATATAAAAGACTACGGTTTGCCACCTATTTTGACGCCCTACTTTGGACAATTTGATAAATAGGTCATATAATATTTATCAGTATTAACAATTTGCTTGTCCGTAATGTATTTATATTTTAATAGCTTTGTTTTTATGATTATTTTAACTACTTGATCTTCCATGGTACTTGTGTGATCTGTTAAGTTGTAATGTAATAAAATAGTGTAAAATAAAATGATTTATTTGGTGTTTTTATATATGTCTACCAGCTACTATTTTTAAAATCAAATCCGAAATTTGTCTTATTGTTACTGAACTTTACGTTATAAACATAATTCACTTATATTTCTGTAGAAAAAATAAGGCTAGTAGTATATAGGGCACTTGGGGCAGACAAACATTACCCCCTCCACTTTCCCTGTTCATGGTGTTTGATGAGCTGGACTTTGACCCTTTAAT